AGGTTGTGGGGGAGGGAGGTTCCCAAGGCAGGTCCCAGATGCTTTGACAATATCATTGCACTGCTTCTCAGAGCACAGTAGTGCAACCTAGTCAGAGCACCTGCGGCCAGCAGGGGGTACCCCATCGCCCCCAATACAGCAGGTTAGGAAGTTCAATTATAGGTGAGGCAAGAGTCCCTGTTAAGTACTTTGGGGCAAGGAAAGGGATAGCAGCCGAACTGCCATCCGCAGGTTCCTTAGAACCCCTGGGCACCCAGGCCTTCTCTAGCACGCCGGGATTGCGGTGGAGGAGAAGCCCCAGACTGGGAGGTAATTCCAATCCTGTTGCGGGAGCTGACTGGCCAGACAGGGGAGAGGACGCGCACACAAAGGAGAGTGATCCGCGCTCAGCGGCCGTCTTGAGTCCGTTAGCACCCAGACGGGGTGGGCGTCCTCACTTGGCCCACAGCTCCGAGCGAAGAAAGGTGACCCCACCTTGGGACAACGCACGGCCCTCCTGGCTCGGAATCTTTTCCCATCCCAGGCCCTTGCTCCTCACATGAGACCCGGGTTCTGTTATAACAGGTTCTTCTACCTGGAAGCCCAAGGAGGAAGCAAAGAAATAGGGGATTCTCGCCCTTCTGGAGTTCCTAACTCAGAAGAGGCCCTTCGGGTCCCTGCAAGTGCCCCCCACACGTCCCACCAGGTAGGATCGTCCTGCCCACGCCCCCCACCTCAAACGCCGCTACTCACGCAAACACCCTTTCCACTCAAACGCCGCTACTCACGCAACTCCCCTTTCCGAGGGGAGGGTCCTAGGCGTCGTCCATCCCCGTGGTCCCTACTCGGACGACCCCGCACCTCGTGGCGCTCTCTCGCCCGCCGTCTCCATCTTTAACCCGCTGACAGTCGGAGGGGCCGGGCCCCGGTTCCTTTGCATATCGCCACTCTCATTGGCCAGAGCCGACGCGGGGCTTCGCCTCCCGCGCGCCTATTGGCTGAGACACGAGCGATTTCAAAATAGCCTCCGGACTCCGATTGGTCCGACGCAGGCAAGTCTCGGTTCCGTGGTTTTAACAATGAGTTGTACAAACACTTTCTCCCCATTCATAACTTATCAAAAGGAACTTTGCCCGCCTTTTCTCAGCTCCAAACTCTGCGCGTTTTCTAGCGGCATCCGTGAGAGCGCTTGGGAGCCCGGTGGGGGGCGCCAGGCGAGCGACTAAGCACACCAGGGAGGAAGCTGCGCCCCTCGGGAAATTCCTTAGAACTCCCTGCCAAGCTTGCTGTTGCACGCGGCTGCAGGTTGCTTTGTTTTGCGTGCTAAGATTGCTCTTTGCTTCTCCCTAGATGGGATATTCAGGCGCAGTGGGCTTCCAAGCTGGGGTAGCTCCCTTCCCCTCTCAACCCCACCGCAGTGCTCAGCATGACCCGAGTGGGGCTTGCTTGAAACCTTCCGGGTAGGGCTTGGCTGCAAAGGCCTGGCACTCGGTCCGTGGAGCCCTGTGGATGTGTGGGAGGTGCCAAGAAGAGGATATTATCTTGGGTTCCGGCATGATTGTGATCCATTCTGAGAATAAGTGTTCATTAAGCGGCTTCCCCAGGCTAATAACCGGGAAGCATATTATTCCCCGGCCTTCAAACAGCTAGCTCGTGGGGCGGTTGGGGAGTGGGGAGAGTTTCATGTGGGCAACTGTGCATGTGGGCAACTGTGCATCTGCATCCCTTCCTCTTTAATTATCCATCCAACGGTTGAGAGCAAATATTTTTGAGGCAGGCAGAGCTGGTTTTGAATCTTTATGAACTTCTTGTTGCCATCTCTACAAAACTGAGATAATTGAACCTGCTTCATGAGGTTGTTGTCAGGAGTAAATGAGATGCTGTATAAATTGTTGGCCCAGGACCTGGCATTTAGTAAGTGTTCAATAAAAGTGAGTGTTACTGCTGCTGTTTTTATTTTTGGTCTTGTTCTGCATTCGGCCTATAGTTGTCTTACTTGCTCCTACAGCCTGTGATTTGGTTGTAAAGGGATTCCCAAGTATTGTGCACTGTTGGGTTCTGCTCTTAGTCAACATTCCTCACCTCACTGCATACCTGTGTGTGAGGGTAGGGAGGTGACAGACACAGGCAGGAGTGGGCTCTTACAGCCCACAGGGGTTGGAGATGGACCAGAGTGCCCCTGTGGATTTGCAGGGTGTAGTCCAGTATAGCCTCACCTCTATCCCCTTGGCACTCACCTCTACAGAAAGGATCTTCATGGCCAGCTCTGGAGACTCGGCCTGGGGACCGTATTCTGGTTGCAGGGGTTCCTTACCCAATGTGCAGGGCAAGTGGAAAGTGTTAGATTAATCCCCCCAGCCACTCAGCAGCCCTCAACCCATGAAAGAAGCTACTTTGGTGGTAAGTAGCCCTCTTCCTTGCCCTTTGGGTGGGATAAGTGTGATGTACCTTCTGAACTGGGTCCCAGAGACTCACTGGCCCCCTTCACTGGCTTCTTTCTCTTCCCCTCTCTCAGCCCTACTCCTCTGTGCTGGTGTTTCCTGGGATCACCTCCAACAACCTACTTCCATTCAAATCCTCTCAGGTCAGGTGAGGGATGGGAGAGGAGTATAGACTTCTAGATGATGTTCAAGAAGTTTGACAATGGAGGAGACCACGCTCAGTGGCTCACCCTGTAATCCCAGAACTTTGGGAGGCGGAGTTGAGAGGATTGCCTGAGTCCAGGGGTTCAAGACCAGTCTGGGCATCTTGGCGAGACCTCAACTCTACAATAAATCAAAAAATGTGCCAGGCATGATGGCATGCCATGATTCCAGCTACTTGGAATGCTGAAGCAGAAGGATCTCCTGAGCCCAGCAGGTCAAGGCTGCAGTGGCCATGAGTGTGCCACTGTGCTCCAGCCTGGGCAACAGAGTGAGACTCCAACTCAAAAAAACAAAAACAAACAAACAAGGCAATGGAGGCCAGGCGCACTGGCTCAAGCCTGTAATCCCAGCACTTTGGGAGGCAGAGGTGATTAGATTGCCTGAGCCCAGGGGTTCAAGACCAGCCTGGGGAACTTGGCAAGACCTCATCTATATAATTTTTTTTTTAATTGGAGTCTCACTCTGTCACCCAGACTGGAGTGCAGTGGCATGCGCTTGGCCACCACAGCTTCAACCTGCTGGGCTCCAGCGATCCTTCCACCTTAGCCTTCCAAGTAGCTGGAACTATAGGCCTGCACTACCATGCCTGGCTAATTTTTTGATTTATTGTAGAGAGGAGGTCTTACCAAGTTGCCCAGGTGGGTCTGGTGAACCCACAGGCTCAGGCAATCTACTCACCTCAGCCTCCCAAAGCGCGGGATTACAGGCTGAGCCACCAAGCCCGACTTCTACAATAAATTTTTAAAAGTAGTTGGGCATGGTGGCACACACCTGTGGTTCCAGCTACTTAGAAGGCTGAGGCAGAAGGATCACCTGAGCCCAGCAGGTTGAGGCTGTAGTGGCTGTGAGCATGCCATTGCACTCTAGCCTGGGTGACAGCGTGAGACTCCTACTAAAAAAAAAAAAAAAAAAAAAAGACAATACAGTACAGGTACCAGGAGAGGCTTCATGGGGGAGGGAAGGGGAGTAATGCATCCAGAGCCTACACATGACCCACCTCCCCTCAGAATTGGCTGAAACTTTTCTCCCACCACCACACCTCTGTCCTTTAATAATCAAATGATTTCTCACATGAAAGGCGCTCTGCCCACATGCCAAGCCCCTTCTAGCCAGCTGCCACCATAGCCTCACCTTGGGCTCTTTTGTTCTCTTTCAGGGAAGTAGCACCATTAACCCCAGTAGGTCCCTTAAACCCCTTCTGTCCTAAGCAGCCCTACCCCAGCAGAGTTAGCAAGTCCAGGAAGCCTGTAATCTTAGCCATCACCTCGAGAGCCCACCCACACACCAGCAAAGTTAACTTATTTTCCTTTATTATGCCCCTATTTCCTCGTCTAGTCTTTATGTTGCAATACTCTGCCTGCCCGAATTATGCCTCCTTTTCCAAGAATTCTTCTCAGATCTCTTCAGGTAGCAGTTTTTTGTGACTGTCATCCCTTAAGATATCTTTTGAAGTTCTGTTATTTCTTTGGGACCTTGGAAGGTGATGGTAGGGGCCTGAGATACCACACACCTGGACAGTCTGGGGTTGGTAGATGCCATTTGCACCAAGAGTGAGGGAATGTGACGCGAATTTCTAGTAAATGGGCAGAGTGCTCACTTGGCTCTAGGTGAAAGACAGGTGTCAAGACTGCCACGACTGACAGGAAAGTAGGGTCCTCACATCCAGGGATGAGGGAGCTGGAAAGCTTGTACCACGTCCAAGCAGGCAGGGAGTAGGGCTCCTATTCATCCTATAATAGGGTCTAGCTCTATCCCCTAACAGGAAGGTTCACAAAGCTCAGTGGCTGGGCAAGTGGGGTCACTTATCGTCAGACCACCTCAGGTAGATAGGAGGACTGTGATTACCCAGGGCAGTACTGGAGCACATAGAAGAGCATCAAAAAGGTTTGGGTTGCCTGAGTCCATGGGTTCGAGACCAGCCCGGGCAACTTAATGAGACCTCATCTCTACAATAAATTCAAAGTTAGCTGGGCATGGTAGCATGCGCCTGTAGTTCTAGCTACTTGGAAGACTGAAGTGGAAGGCTTGCCAGAGCCCAGGAGGTCCACACTGGGGTGGCCGTGAGTGTGCCACTCCACTCCAGCCTAGGCAACACAGTGTGACTCCAACTCAAAAAAAAAAAAAAAAAAGTTTAGGCATGGTGGTGTGCCCACCTATTTGGGAAACTGAGATAGGAGGATCACTTGAGCCCAGGAGTTGAAGTCCAGCCTGGGCAACATAGCAAGACCCCATCTCAAAATAACAATGATAATAATAAAGGTTCAGCAGGCAGGATGAGCTAGAGACAGAGGTTTTTGCACTGAGGGAAAGATGATAAACTGGGTCTGAGATGGCTGACACTTTCTGGTCACCCCCCAGGCTCACAGTGAAACATAATCACAAACCAACATTTTTTAATCATTAAGGCACTTAAGGACTCCTATAAACCCAAAGTCTCCGCCAACAGTAACCCTGCAGACACCTCACCTGCCACCCTCCAACCACCCATCCACATACTCAGAGTTCGTCATGACCAGCAGAGGACTCCACACTGGGCTTGATGAAGATGCCTTCCATGGCCTTCCATGTATTGTGTGTGTTGGCACTGGGCATGCCATGTACCTCGTGCTGCCCACGAATGGGGCTCCCGTACTGCTCGCCTGTGACTGACAGGAACACAGAGGTGCCCACGTGCTGGAAGCGGACAGTGGCCTCACGCTCCCAGTGCTGTCCAGAGCAGCGCACCGTCCACAGGTCCAGGTCATCACCTTCGCCGTCTTCCCCAAAGGCACTCACCTCCTATAGGTGCAGAGGGTGGAGGTAACAATAGTTGGCACAGAGTCCTCTGTGGCTGCTTGCTTGGCAGCAGCAGTCATACCCAGTGCACTGGGCCTCTGGTCCTTTCCCTTAGCTTCAGCTCCCATAGGTACAAAATGGGACACCACAACTTCCCCTCTCCCCAGTCCCCTCCCCAACACAGGCTCTTCAGAACATGCATATCCACTGCATCTGTCTGTGCAGTGAGGACTGGTCCCCACCAAATGAAGGCCTGCTCCTCCATATTCACCCAGTCCTAATCCCTCTGACTCACCTTCAGCCTAAAGTTCAACCCCTCAGGCTAACAGTCAAGGTCTCTATCTATCTCATACTTTTTCTTCCACCAACTCCCCAAAAGCACTCTTGGTAGCATCCCAACCCACTGGGATGCCTTGGCACAAGCTCTTCTGTAGGCCTGGAAAGCCCCTCATTTCCCTTCTGTGACCAGGAGGACTCCTACTCATCCTTCCAGACCCAGCCTGAGTTCTTCCTCCCCTACAGAGTTTCCTCATCCCCATCCTCAAGACTGTGTGGATCCCCCTCCTGAATTCCACTTGACCCCAGAAGGGGGCAATCCACGAGGATCTCTTCCCTGTCAGCCTCCCTGCTGGACTGGAAGCAAGTGGGGGCAGGATCCTGGCAGAGTTACCTCTGTGAGCAAACAGGGGGTGCCCAGTAAACACTTCTGAATTGAATTTCCATTTCACAGAAGCAACTGAGGCTCAGTCTCAGCTTGGAACCCGAGGCTCCGACCCTGGCTCCTCACACGCGCCAGAAGCTTCCCCTGAGGTCTCAGGGAGGGGGCTCACCTGGTTGTTGGACAACGGCGACGGGAAGTGATGCGTGTGCAGGTTCTTGCCGGTGAACACGTGCGTGAGCCTCACCGCCTGCCCGCAGCGCACGGGGGACCCGCGCGGGCACTCCCCCTCTGAGCTGCCGCGAATCCGCCAGTAGCTATTGGCGTCGTCCGACGCTTCCACGCCGGTCACCGACTGTTGGCCACTACCTGAGGAGTGACACCCGGCCCACCCCAGGGTAACTGTCAGTGGCGGAACTCTCGACCCTCGCCCAGACACACACTATCAAACGTCCCCCACGACCCCAACTCTGGGACCCAAACGGCTGACCCCCAGCCCCCGGCTCTGGCCCCCGGGTGACCCTCTCCCAAGTCCTTCAGCTCGCAGGTCCCCGACGACACTCTCCGCTCTCAATATCCATATGACACCCTCAAAGCCTCGGTCCTGCCCCTCTCGGCCTCCTAGATTCTAGATCCGCCCCTCTCCCGGCTCCCAGCTGGTTCACAGACCCCACGACCACCCCGCCTGCAAACTCCCAGCCTCCAGTCCCAAGGCCCAGCTCCCGGCGACCCCCCATCTGCGGCCTCGCGCACCGGATCCGTATTTGATGTCGTGAGAGTGCAGCCGCACTCTGTGGTGTGTGTTGAACAGCTTCAGCACCGACCCGCAGGTCACGAGCCCCGCGCCGGTCTTGGCAGCGCCACCACCCAGTACCAAAAAAGCCAGCAGCCCCAGCAGCGCCGGTCCGGCAGCCCCGCCGCGGCCCGCGCTCCACATCGCCCCGGCCCGGCTCCAGCCGCTGGGGCCTGGGACCGCTTCCGTCCCCGCCGCGGACCAATCCAACTCTGACAGCGCCGTTCGCGCCAGCCAATCGCCGATCCGCGCGGCGCCCTACCTGCACGGCCATTGGATCGGCGTATAAGGGACCCACCCCCAGCTTTCCAGAGCGGCAGCTGGGCGGGGACTGGAGACACGAGGAGGGCTTTGATTGGTCCACACTTCCGATGATTCGCCAATGAATGTCAAGGAAAGGGCAGCGGAGAAGCTAAGCCCAGGAGAACGGTGGGGGAGCACGTCTTCACGACGCCCCTTGATCTAGGAACCCTGGGCTCTCAATCATGGGTCTCTACCCCGGACCCTGGGCCAGCAGCTGCCGGGTCTTGAGTTTACTGGATCACTAGATTTTGTGGTCACAAAGTGACAGATCCCAGAATCACTGAATCACCCGGTCCTCCAGGCCCTGGATCCCAGAATTAACTAAATCCCCGGTCATTCGGTCATAGGCCCCTCTCTGACACTGAGTCATCTCAGTCCCTAGACCCTGGGGTTTCTGAATTCCCCCTGGCTGCGCAGACTTTGACTCCTTCCATAGCTGAATCTCATGGTCACCGGGTAATTGGGCGGCAGAGGGCAGTAGGGAGCTGTGGTGTTGAGGATCATGGCAGGTTATCACCAGAAAGCCTCAAATCTGTCCTAGAAAACCAGAGCTCAGGGAGAACCAGGGACTATGGGAACAAAACTTGGGTGAATTTTTGTCCCAAGTTTCCTGGTCATGAGTAGGTCTCCCTCTGACTGCCTTATCAGAGTGTTGTCAGCTCACTGTTGGAGGAAAACGTACACCGTATTCATTCGTGCAACGTTCTTACACTGACTTCACTCCAGGCCATGAGGGGTCACAGAGGTACTGACTCTGGGCGACATTATCCAAGAGGCTGACTAAGTATGTACTTGAAGCACTAGCAAAGCAGGGAGAAAAGTTCATATTTAATGAAATCACCCAGGATTTTGCTTTCAGAAACCCAGAGTAAAACCATTTTATTGATTTACTGATTGATTTCTTTTTAAAGCAGGATTTATTGAGAGGACAGAAAAGCTCCCACAGTGGGAGGGGACCCAAAGGGGTTGCCCGTAAAGCCATTTTAATTACAACGATTAATATGTTACTTTGCAGTTTTCTTTTCTTTTCTTTTCTTTTTTTTTGAGTAGAAGTCTCACTCTGTCACCCAGGCCGGAGGGCAGTGGCATGCTCCTGGCCACCACAGCCTCGACTTGCTGGGCTCAGGCGATCCTTCCACCTCAGCCTTCCAAGTAGGTGGAACTATAGGCACACACCACCATACCCAACTAAATTTTTTATTTATTGTAGAGATGAGGTCTCACCAAGTTGCCCAGGCTGGTTGCGAACCCATGGGCTCAGGCAATCCTCTCACCACGGCCTCCCAAAGTGCTGGGAGTATAGGCACGAGCCACCACGCCAAGCCTTGCAGTTTTCATTTTTAATGTTTTTTTTTTATTTTTTTTATTTTTTGAGTTGGAGTCTCACTCAGTCTCCCAGACTGGAGTGCAGTGGCCGCTCCCGGCCACCGCAGCCTCGACCTGCTGGGCTCCGGTGATCCTTCCACCTCAGCCTTCCAAGTAGCTGGAACTACAGGTGCACACTACCACGCCCGGCTAATTTTTTATTTATTGTAGAGATGAGGTCTCGCCAAGTTGCCCAGGTGGGTCTCGAACCCGTGGGCTCAGGCAATCCACTCACCTCAGCCTCCCAAAGTGCTGGGATTAAGGCTGAGCCACCAAGCCCGGCTTAATGTTGTTTTTATATTCAACTACATATGGTATGAGGCACCTTGATCTTTTTAGCACTGAGCGTATCTAAATGGTTAAAGATCTGCCCTGGATTTTGGCAGTCTCTACACTAAAGGGGTGTAGGGGTCAGAGTACAACCTGGGAGGCTACAGATATGTCCTCCTGGACACATCAGCAGGCATCTCAAAATGAACATGTCCAAAGCAGAATTCTTCATCTCCATCCTCAAACTGCTCCTGCCCCGGGCTTCCAAGTCTCAGTAAATGGCACCTCAATTAATCAGTTGCTCAGGCCCTAAAACTGAGATTCTTTGATTTCTTGCTCTATCTGGCTCCTCACATCGAATTCAACACCTCTTGATGGCTCTGACTCCAAAGCAGATTTCAAGGCATCTCTCCTGTGTCACCACTCTGATCCAAGCCCCTCCATCTCTCCTCCAGATAAAGACCACCACTTTCTAACAGATCTCCCTGCTTTCACCACGTTGGCCCCTCCAAGGCATTCTCCACACAGGAAAGTGGTGGGGGAAAAAAGAGACCACCAGGCATGGTGGCTCATACCTGTAATCCAAACACTTTGGGAGGTGGAGGCAAAAGGATTGCCTGAGTCCAGGAGTTCAAGACCAGCCTGGGCAACTTGACGAGACCTCGTCTCTACAATAAATAAAAAAATTAGCTGGGCATGGTGGCGCATGCCTGTGGTTCCAGCTACTTGGAAGGCTGAGGTGGAAATATCACCTGAGCCCAGTAGGTCGAGGCTGTGGTGACTGTGAGCATGCCACTGCACTCTAGTCTGGGTGACAAAGTGAGACTCCTACTAAAAAAAATATATCACCGAAAAAACCCAGGTCATTGGCTTAGTCTATAATCCCAGCACTTTGGGAGGCTTGTCTGAGCTTCCCAAGTGGATTGACTGAGCCCATGGATTTGAGACCAGCCCAGGAAACTTGGCGAGACCTCATCTCTACAATAAATCAAAAATTAGCCGGGTTTGGGAGTGCACCTGTCGTTCCGGCTACCTGGAAGGCTGAAGCGGAAGGATCGCCGGAGCCCAGCAGGTTGACACTGGTGCAGCCATGAGCATGCCACTGCCCTCCAGCCTGGGCAACAAGAGTGAGATTCCAACTCAAAAAAAAAAAAAAAACAGAGCTGGGCTTGGTGGCTCAGCCTGTAATCCCAGCACTTTGGGAGGCTGAGGTGAGTTGATTGCCTGAGCCCGCAGGTTCGAGACCCACCTGGGCAACTTGGGCGAGACCTCATCTCTACAATAAATCAAAAATTAGCCGGGCGTGGTAGCGTGCGCCTGTATTTCCAGTTACTTGGAAGGCTGAGGTGGAAGGATCTCCGGAGCCCCGCAGGTCGAGACAGCAGTGGCTGGAGGCAGCCAGTGACCTCTAGTCTGGATGACAGTGAGACTCCAACTTAAAAATAAATAAATAAATATAGTAAAAATAAAAAATAGTTTCTCAATATAATCAGTGAAATATTTACCTACACTTTCTCAGAGCAAACTACTTAGAAGAGGTTTACAAAACCCTAAGTATGCCATGTAACAAAAATAAATCAAAACACTCATTTATTTTGTTTTTCATATTTTGCTATTTATCAGAAAAATGAATGGCTAGATGAATTGTGTACATATTAAGGAAAAATTGCCTGCAGCATTCGTATTTATAGAGCTTAAAAACATAATGTAGATGCAGGTTCCTGATGAGTATATATAATTCCATGTTTCCTTTATGAACCTTGATAATACACTACCTACATATGGTATCTATGGAGAACAAAAATTTAAGAAAAACAGAATAAATATAAGCCTAAAATGTAGCCAGGCATGGTAGCTCGAGCCTGTAATTCCGGCTCCTCGGAAGGCTAAGGCGGAAGGATCGCCGGAGCCCAGCAGGTCGAGGCTGCGGTGGACGGGAGTGGGGGAACTCCCAGGGGAACGAGGTGAATATTTTAAAGTAGTCTTCTATTACTTGTTCTGAATGGTGACTTCATGGATTTTCAATTTTTTGTGTTGTCTTCTGAGTTGTTGTTTTTTGAGTCTTGGAAGGCCTGGTACCAGGACTTTGAGCAGGTACCAGGTCCCCGACCCTTGCTAGGAGTCTTCCAAGACAGAACCGGAAACCCGAGAGACCCAGAAAGCC